GAGAGGTCTGTAGTTTGATGGAAGTTGTCTTGATCCTGTTTTATGTATTGGAATGACACTTGTATCCTACAGCCCCTAGTTAACTCACCTTGGTTAAGTGACATTGGGTATAATAGTCGGTGAGGCAGTAATGTATTGTGCGAATTGTCTTAAGATTTTAAGGTGTAGTTCGTCCGGTTCAGTTGAGTTTTTCGTGTCTGAAGTGCTAAGGGTCTTAAGTTCATCGTCTCAATCGAAGTACACACTGAGCAAACGATTTTTCGACTTTGTATTTGGGTCTAGTTCTTTGTCTAGAAGGGACTCCTAAGTGAAAACTGACCCGAAATAGTTTTCCATATCCTCTACTTTTCTCTGATCATCCTTCATCATATGAGATCCACTCCCGTAATTAGGTTGGGAATCCAGTGTTGGGTCCTTGTTCTGGAATTTATGTACGAGAATAGTTTCTTAGGTTGTTTGATTACAGGTTGGGCCAAATTTTTCATATTTTCGCTGAGCTATACGGATTGTTATTATGTACTTATTTCGTGACGACAAGTAGAATTCCATCGTACGTGCTGTGCCAAGGCTGATGGCGATGTTTCAACATTCATTCTCTTGTCTTAGTGAACGTCGAATATCCCGGTCTATCCGGGGATGGGTGTGCTTCTTTGGGACTGTCCAAGGTGTATATGGTCGAGTTACCTGATTGCACAACTGCCTGAAATGAGTCCATGCCTCTTCTGATGTCTCCGAGGCAATTATCCAGTTTTCAGCGGAGAATACAGAGTTGATCATACACATGTCGGCGCAACTGCTTCATGGGCCATCCTAGCCATGAAATTGAATAATAAGACTGTATGACCACTTCTCCCTCAAGATGGAAATCAGGTTGTTTGAATGACATCATCATCGTGTGTGAAGATTAGGTTTTGCAGGTCATTTTTGGTGGGGCCTCTAATGTGCTGGAATAAAGCTAGGACGATTGTGGTTTCTAGCAATTTGCAATCAGGTGATGTTGATGACTGTACTTTTAAGTTTTCCCAATTTATATACGGTGCATTAGTCAACTACTATAAGAATTTTACCCTTATTACACCATGATTTAAGTTTGCATAGGAGAAAGTCATCTACCACACGTTCTGGACTGCGGTATACTACAACTAATTCAATATCTTACCGTTTACATTTCAGCCTGCAGCGCACCAGTTGATATGTCCTTGAGTTGTGTGCCACTGTCTTGACAGCTCGTGTGGTTAAGGTACTTCTCGTGTACAGGATAGCCCCACCACCCCTGCGGTTTAGTCTGTCAGCTATACTAGGTAAGAAACTAAGCAATTGAATTTCACTATCATGCACTTCGGACGTTAAACATGTTTCTGAAATGGTAAGACATCAGGGTTTTCTGTGCCCACCACTGTTTCGAGCTCCGCCATTTTATTTTGTAGGCTGCGAACATTTGGATAGCACACCTTTGTGAAGACCTTCCTCTAACCACCCAAAGTGGTTTGGAGATCCTCTTGCTATAAACTTTTGCAATGTGGAGACCCTTAAGTATAAAGTTTTTCACCGTTCTGGTGGTGCTTATTTATTTCTATCTCTGTCGATTGTATCATAATACGATTAACTGGGTTGAGGTATTCACGGTCAGTCAGTTTGTGTGAGTTTTGCAGCATTAGGTTTCTTTCTTCGGCAAAAGGAAAGGTAACTTTTAAGAGGTGGCTTTTCTGCGTATCTTCAGAATTCACTTTTTGTCCTATTCTATAAAGCTTATAGATGCTGACTCCTGCGACTGTTTTGGAAGTAGCTTGCTCACTAAGGAATTAATGACGCTTAGATGGTGTTCAAATCTAGCTTTTAGCTCCTCTTCGGAAGATCCCCTTAATTTATGAACAATGACTGATATGTCAGTGAGGTCCGTCTTACCAAGCTGTGGAGTTTTATTGCTTAAAATCTTTTCATCCTTGCAGTCCGATTTGGCGTCAGATACGGAGGTCTTAATCTGTTTCCTTACCTTTTCCTAGGTGTAACTGTAATCCAGTGATTTACCTTATTATATCTCTTGATCACATCATCCACACCACTCAGGCCTCACTCTTGCATAGTATGTTTTGCGTTGATGTGGGAATCCGGTGTTGAAACTGTCGAACCACACATCTTAGATCCCCATGTAATTTATTTCTTCTCAGAGTGCTTTTTCTCTTGTGATCAAGAGTACATCTGTGTTTGTTATCCGCTACGATATTGGGGTCCACCTTGATGGTTTCACTCAAATCCAGGGCTGGACTCACTTTAACGCTCTCTATGCTTCCTCGAAAACTGGAAGCTGCTCCTGTGCTGCTGGCTGTTTATCTGAGGGTATCTTTCTAGCTATGTTTAGCCCTGCTCAATCGCCCCAAGAATTAGCCGAGACTTAGTAGATCAGCACGCTTTGCACAGCCAATGTGATGGTGGTTTGCAGCACCTTTTATACACAGCCGGTGTGAGTCCGGTGCACACGTTGTGATAGCACTTGTTGCAGTTGTCACATTGTATTCCATCCTCGACCGGGAAGAAGCACACGGGTCCACCGCAACGATGTTTTAACTGCACCAGAAGAATAAAAAAACTGATCTTTAGGGTAAGTGTTTTTTAAGGCTCTTAAGGTGATAGACACTGAACACAAAAATATGAAGTTTATGTATATGTCTTGGTATGGCCGAGAGTGTGGAAAGTGAGCTCTTTTTCTCGAAAAGCTCTCACATGACCACGTACTACTACTGCCAGGGAAGTCCTACTCACTGCTTTATCGCGATAGTAGTGTTGCTAACGAAATTGAGAGGACGAAGAGCGAATGTCCGGTCCTTTACGGGGATGGTGGATACGGAGGATGCACCTAGGGGAGTTGGAAAACCATGATTTCAAACCGATGGTGTACATATGCTCCAAGATCCTGGGGAAAAATGGAATATAAACCAATCGTTGGTCACCGGCTACCACTGTACCGCATCTCCTGACGTCACTCCACCACCTTGTGGATCAAACCTTTAGGTCGAAGGCTCAGGGTGTGGCCTCCTAAGGAAACCACCTTCAATTTGGACACCAGGACAGTATCATAACTCACACAAATCAAGTGACTTGTGTGGCGAATATCTGTTTGGTATCTCCTTGTACCAATATTTGTGTTCAAACAAATAAAATAAAAAATGTTATTTTATCTGAAAACAAAATTTCGACCTAAATAAATACAAAAAAGCCTTTATACCTTTGGATACAGTCAATATTAAAAGATTTACTCAACGTGGAAAAGTTCCACTGTTAGACCAAAAAGTAAACATCTCCCAAACACTCGCAACTGAATTTTACTTAGTATGACCATATAGAAGTTATTTTACCGGTGACCTAATGTAAAGTTTCTCGTTTGAAGAGATTTCCTGTACTAATCCCCTCAGTAGTTCAATTTTCATCAAAGTCAATAGATTGAAAAGGTCTTTAATATTTAGCTTGGTTTGGTCTTCTGCTCACTAGTTATAATCACAAGTTTTGTTAGTGGAAATCTAGAAAGTGACGAAACTTTTTTTGATGTCAGTGAACTATGAAGGTTGATTTTATCGTGTATTCCAAGCTGATAATTATTGTCCTTAAGGTTCTCCATTTTCAAGTAATCCAAAATATGTCAACAGTATTGTGTGGATTCGCTTTTAGTGGTGATTGGTATGTTTGTTGTAAACCTTCATCGTAATTCGTAAACTTGTGAGTTGCTAGTATTCCTTCATCAGTCTCTCTGAAGTATTGCCTGCATGTAATAACAATTATACAGACGATCCTAATCTTGGTCCTTATTTTAGTAGTGTCGTGTTATATGAAGGCAATTGCCATTCCCCGGTTGCTCATACCATGAAAGGACACTTCTTGTGCGACTTAGCAAAGACACTTTTATGCCCGAGAGTATGTTCCCATAGTCCAAAGCAACTGCTCTAGGCAGATCACACAGTATTTTTGTATTTCTTAACGTTTTAGCTTCGTACTTTTCAGTCGTTATTATGACATAGATGATGAAGCTTTAAATTATGTTAAAAGCCTTCGTTTGTAGAGTCGGTTGGTATATGCTACGCTTACTTGGCCGTCAATTATCTTAGTGAGCTACGCTAGTCACTGCATGCCCAAATCAATACGTAGTGTCGTCCTACCAAGTTAAATACCCGTGTCGGGTCTGGTGACACCTAAATATAATCTTAATTGAAGTATGAGTCCCATTTATCAAGACAATCTTTTAGTCTTCTGTAGCGGTAATTATTAGCAAGTTGATGTCTTTAGTTACTGGTCGAATAGTGTTTCTCCTAATACATAAAGTTCGTACTTGCTGGTAATAAACGTGGTTAAAGATAGGGGACAACAAACGGTCACTATTGTTTGTTCACATAATCAGATGTCAAAATTTTCGTTTGAATGTCTTACAGTTTGTCTTAATTTGTTTACTTCTGTTTTAAAACTACTAACTACGCTGTTTCCAAATCAGATTTCGAATAGCAGACAGCTTCCATGAGAGCTCATCTTTAGTTTTATTAGAGCTGCTGCCAGCAATTGTCGATAACAATTACGTTCATAAGTTCGAATTTCACTTCTAAACTTCACACTAGAAATAATTTGCTACTCTAGGAAGTCGAATTTTTTGTTTGTATTAGCATGCACTGCTTGAAATGAAATCATATTTATTAAGAGTTTGATTAAACTATATTACGCACAATAAACGGCACATAAATATTAGTGTATCACATCTGGATCACTTTTATCCTATCTAGTTTAGCCCTGTGTTTATAATTGAATATCGTTGGTTTTTTATATTATGTTCAGTGGTTAGATTAGAGTACCACTTAATTTTGTTTCCCTTCAAAAAAGCAAATTTAACAAAAACTAAATAAATTTTGTATAGTGGTATGTTAAAAAAATGGAGTCGTATGAAACTCCAACATAGTGGCTTCACGTTTCATCTGTGCATTCATAAGTATATTTAAACTGGATTATTTATTTGTTATTTTTAGGCACACTATCGTTTACCAAGGTTGCAAACTCCCTGATATGCCCACTACAGGTAATTACGTTTTTTTACTCTTAAGACTTCAGAATATTCGTTTTTACGCTGTTCCTGGAGTCAAAACCGCTTATATTCGTGATAAGCCTCATATGAACATTGGCACAATAGGACACGTTGATCATGGAAAGACTACCCTCACTGCAGCTATCACAAAAAGTAAGAAGCAATTTAAATTCGTAAATTTCCTAGTACTTTCTGGAAAAAACAACTCTGTCTATCGGAGCTATGAAGAGATTGATGCTGCTCCAGAAGAACGAAAACGTGGCATAACCATTAATGCAGCAGTGGTTGATTACTCAACATCTAACCGGCATTACGCACACACAGATTGTCCTGGTCATGCCGACTATATAAAAAATATGATAACTGGTGCTAATCAGATGGAATGCGCTATTCTCGTTGTAGCAGCAACTGATGGCACTATGCCACAGACTAGAGAGCATTTATTATTGGCTAAGCAGATAGGAATAGAAAGATTAGTCGTTTTTATCAATAAAGCTGATGTGGCAGACCCCGAGATGCTAGAACTGGTTGAACTTGAAGTCAGAGATACATTAAAACATTATGGATTTGATGGAGATAATACGCCAATTGTCAGTGGTTCCGCCCTTTGTGCACTGGAAGTAAGTTCTAAAATTAGTGACATAATTATGTAGAATCGCGACCCTAAAATGGGTATTGAAAAAATTGAAGAATTGCTTGATGCGATTGACTCAGTTCCTTTGCCGAAACGCGAAAAAGATAAACCTTTCCTACTTCCTATCGAACATGTGTTTACCATTACTGGTCGAGGTACTGTTGTTACAGGTCGGATAGAACGTGGGATTCTTAAGCTTCAGTCACCAATTGAAATAATTGGATATAGTCAGACTCTAAAATCCACTGTCACAGGTAAGTCATAGCTAGTCTTTCAGTGCTATCTGCCTACATAATTAAAATTACTAAGTTTACCGCTAAATATTAGAATGTAGTGTTGTCTAAGAAGACCAAGCAAATGAAAGAATGATCTCTGTACTGAGTTTTTATTTATTATAAACGAATTACCATTCAATAAATATGGATTTCAGTAACTTTTGTGAATCATGATTTGACAAGTGAAGGGTGACCTGAGGAATGTTGAAATAGATGAATATAATCTCGGTGATATGATGTGACTAACTGATAACTCTTCATAATAACGAAGTGTGGATCCAAATCTCTCCGATAAGCTGATATCAGAAAATGAAATGGGGATCAATAGAATAGGGTCTTCTGTAGAACAAAACAATACGCCTCTATGCAAAATACTTGGTGTAAAATTAAATATGACTAAAATTCCTAAGCAATTAAAGAACATGAATTTTGCAGGTCGTTCACTCATCACTGAATTAAAACCAAACTATTAAGCTTGATTCCCACTCGACGTAACCATACATCAATACATTTAATTGCAAATGACTACAAGCTAACTTCTGTACGAAAGCTACCTGACTCCTCAAATCTCGGTAGCTACGGGGTGGTTTGGACTTAGTAAATGTCAGCTCATCCATATATTTTGAATAACTCAACTGTTACTGGGTTTTATTTTCACATACGTACACGGAAACACTGGTCAGTCTTGTAAACTTGTGAAATTACCGATTGATGTTCGTCAGTCAGCGGGAGGTCTTGAGTGCTGTTAGAGGTATGAGGGCAGTTATCACTTCCGGGTTGCTCACACTGTGGAAGGGTTCTTCTGGAGGTACCTGAAAGGGAAATTGAATTAGAGGTGGTCTTAGTGACCTGCGAGCGTGACCGCAGTGCCCAAAGGACAACTGCTTGAGGTCGGTCACACACACGTATTAGCTCCGTACTTGTTGAGACCTTACCGCCGGAGACGGATATCCGTGAGATAAGGCAAGGTGTGCATTTTTAGGGTCGACATTTTCTAACCCCATCCCTCCTTGTGGGAAGGCAGCATCGCTGTCATGCTGGTTGTCTGAAGGAAACGGCTTACTGTTGTCATACTTCTGTACAGTCAGCAGTACGACTTCGCCTTCGGACCTAGGGTTTATTGCTTTTAGTCTTACCGCTCTTTAACCGACTTGTCTGACATGGTAGGACCTTGAGTAACGGTTGTTCCAGCCAGTATAGCTCGGTTGCTTCATCACGATAGACAGCTCAACGTAGCAACAACGGTCGGGCGACTAATGTAAAGTTGTTCAGAAAAATGCTATGTTTTATTGTAAGCGTCCTACATAATCAACCATTAGTTTTTAGATATCAGAGATTTCTGTTGTCTTTATACGTTAATTAAATAGCATCCTCACTAATATCCTGCTAACAAATTCAAGTGTACAGTGCGTTCAGGGTTTTAATATATAGATAGTATCAAACCCCATGTTTTAGGACTTTTGTATATTCCAAAAATTTTGAAAGTTTACCGTGATCAAATCAAAAATGTATAATCCAAAGCTAAGATTTCGGTTTTCCGGAGGTAGTTTCTAAATTTTTCAAATCGCTAAAACTATTAGTGTGGAAATAAAACGTTTCCATCAGCCGTCATTTGGGTTTATTATTTCATCCAGGGTTGTCAGTAAATTTTTAAATTAATCGGGATAGTTGTAAACATAGCCCATAGCGGAATACGTTGATTGCAGCTATATCGCAGACTAATGAAAACGCCTAAGCGATTCAGGTAAACATTCAATAAAATAACGCTCAGTAAAGTGTTTTGATTTTTCAGACTATCAAAAATGTTCCACTTTTAAATGATAAAACTAAGGGTACACAACCACCTCTCTATTATTTCGTTCAAGCAATAAGGATAGTCAGGTTTGTCCAGTCTCACTATTCCCCTCCAACTTTGCCATCGATGACATTCTTGAAACAGCTCTGATGGATATAAGTAATGGGCACCCGGACAGTATCCCAGCCCTCACTAATTTGAGGATGCTAGATGACTCTGTTTGATTATTGCTATATCCGAAGGATTGCTGACATCCAGCGACAAAATAATGTAGAGGTTCGGTATCGTATGTTCTTGCATAGCGATAATGATCCAGTTGGTGTAACTTGCACGAATTATTAGCTTTAGTATGTATCTTGAAATAATTTTAACCGACTAAAATTACTTCCAAACTAATAATAGTTTCAAGTGACAAGTTCGAGGTGTCGAAAATTGTTCATTGATGAGGAAGTGATTGTTCTTAGGCTATTCTACTTTCCGTGTAGTGTTTATTAGCATCTTGTGCGATTGAACTGTTTGATTTCTACAACGTTTTTCAAAAAGTGATGTATCAAATATGACAACCAAAAATTCCGCTACATCGTCCCATAAATTTACTACCATTTATCGTTTTTCACTATGCTTACACATTTTATCTATTTAGTCAATGAACAAACTCTGGTACAACTGAGCACTAAAAAGTACGCTTCAAGCAGTAGTATGCTTATTTGAAATAAAATGATCATTCATACCTCGAGTAAATACTGCACTTCTGATATTTCTTTCGTAAACAAATTTTCGGTTCTTGTCTTTTTTATTCAAGTTGTGATACCTGTTTTACCAATCTATTCGAAACACTAATAATTCGATCACTAAATGTGTTACGGTCTCTTTTATTATGACTCAGCTACTTATTACTTAGTATATTTCAGATACTACTTCACTCTACTAGTCCCCAAATCAGAACACAGATGAACAGGGACGTAATTATTTTCTGAATAAACAAGATTGAATGGGAATAAGCATCACAGTAAAAAGTTTGTAATTTCTAGTTTTACACAAGAAGATTCTAGAGACTTCCCTAATTATCCGTTGGCACTGATTAGCCAAGAAACAATCGATCAGCGTGCGCCAAAACAATCCCGCACGGAAAATGCCTTAATCCAGCCCATATACCACTAACAGAAAGTGATATAAATTTGTCGCAACAGTTTAGGCCTCTCATTACGTTTTTTTCCTGAGTAATGCTGTAATTATAATCTTCAAGAAAAATTTGAACTGTGTGAATACGCCATGTTAGACTAACTGTCACGAACTCTCATTTGTTTCAGGAATTGAAATGTTTCACCAACTTTTAGATCAAGCAGAACCAGGTGATCAAGTTGGCATCTTAATGAGAGGAGTGAAACGAGATGAAGTAAGACGTGGTCAGTTTGTTGTAGAACCAAAGTCTATGTCAATACATGACTATGTTCAGTGTCAGGTTAGTTTTTTGGTGTTAGTATTTTATAACACTTCTTGTAAGTACGTGTCGAAATGATGATTTTATTTTGCTAACATGGGTTGTTCTAGTTCATACTTATAACTTTTAAAATACTTTTGCTGCTTTGCAGTAGGTTTGGATGTAAATATTGAGTTATGACTGAACAGTATAGGATTTTATTTAAACTAAGGATTCTTTGAAATAAGTTCAAGATTCTTTTCAAATTGCAAATTGTCTACATTGTACATTACTGAATGTAAATAATGCACAATTTGATGTAGTTTATACTGCGTGATTCTTAATGCGGTGTTAATTTTTTTAATATTTACGGAAATAACAGTTTCGCGCCATAGAGTGTTCGTTTCGCAACTATTTTCAAATGGTATATGATCAATTAGTATACATAATCTCTTCTTAAAAGGTGTTTTTAATACGCATATCCTTCTTTGGAATCATAATTAAAGATATCCTTTCAAACGTTTGTAAATCTTCTTGAATGGGAATTCTTAACGTGTACTTCTAGAATTTTCACACAATACATTGTGTTATCTGAACGAATTATCTTCACTCTTTTAACTAATATTTTCCATATACTTCTTTTAAACTAAATTAAACCTTTTTTACCCATCTCTACATCTCTTTGTGGTCGTTTAGTCATTTGACATCAAGAAGTTGGTAGATTCTTTGTTATATTCTATTGTTATATTATATTATATTATATTATATTATTAGAAGCTTTATTCAACATTATATTTTTGGTACAACATAGAATTCTCAGCATAAAGTATTTCAACAAGTTTCCTTTTCTTATACCTTGATCTATTGTGACGATAAATTTTGAATGATGACCGGTTAGATGTTAGGAGTTCGGTAATCCACATTTGATTAATGTTCGTTCGTTTCAATGCATATTGCCAGCCACCATGATGTCGATGATTGTACCTTTTTGTATCACGTATAGCGAAAGGTTGTAAACTTTTCATAAACACGTCTGAATAGATTGTGTGCACAATGGCCATAATGATGAACTAAAACAAGCAACAAAACAGATAACTTGATGAAATATGTAGATCGGAGGAACAGGTAGCCCAGATATTTAAGCAGGCCGCCAAGTATATATAAATTAGTAACTTTACGAAAGTATTCAGCTTACTTTTACACAAAGAAGGAAGTCACACATTTGATGTTGATACAATTCCACATTATTGATACACACTTTTCAAGTGGTATATATATATATATATATTTCTTAGTTGTACATAACATTTTACGTGATGCATATTTGAATCCAGGATGATCATTTATTTCTGTGTGTATGAAGTCAAATGATGCAAAATATTTATTCCACCTATCTATACTAATAGCTTTCTTTTAGGTAGTTTAAAAAGAATATGTCACCATTATCTCACTAAGTTCAACATTTCACATATCTATTAGTCCAGTTCATGAATCAAAGAATTTAACGATACTTAAAGCACCCCGTTAGTCTAATTGTACATAAAATCGTATGTTAATTTTATCATGTAAATCCATATCAATTCACCTACATGCTATGTTTGGAACTAGTAGCCGTGAAGTTCATTTAAAGGCAAGAAGGGTCTGTTATGAGTGAATGAATAGAACACTGGTTGATAGATGAACGCAATTTTACGATGTAACTAAGCAATAACTCTAATGAATAGTAGACTTAAACTGAAATCAAAAAGAAAACAACTGTCTAGAAGAGGTTCTTTCTTTTAACATGTTTCTATACAAATTATTGACAGAAAAATAAATATAATTAGATGTCATAAGCTATTAAAAGAAATTAGTTTTGTGTGTCACTCACTTCAATAGATTAAAACCCAACTGATGAGCTCAGTTGTTCCTCATCAAGATTATGCTTCGATCTGGGCACCCGGGCAGTATCACAGCCCTCATACATATCCAATGAGATATGTGTGGCGCATATGTATTTGGTGCCTCCTTGTACCAATATCTATATATTAAAATAAATAATAAAAATAAAGATTATGCTTAGTGTGGTTAAACTATTCGGTTTGTGCGTCAACATATTAATCCCCCTGTTGTACTATTATGTGATTGGTCACACCTGTTGTGAAAACATCAGTCAACTATTTCGGTCTGAGTAAACGAACGAGTTCTAATGTGTGAATAATTGTTAATGATTCGAATCCCGAATTAAACCAAAGTGCAACTATACATTTTCACATTTTACATCAGTTTCAACCAACTGTCCATAAAGTTTTTAATCTATTGTCAGCATCAAAAAGTATCGCATGTTATGTTTCCTCCAATTATTTCTCTTATTTTACTACTGCATTTTCCCTAAAATTTCAATAAGTTTTCCAAATTTTGCAGGTGTATATGCTTTCAAAGAAAGAAGGTGGTCGTGCTAAACCATTTACGGGCAATCACCAATTCCATGTTTTCAGTAAGTCATGGGATTGTCCTGCTGTTCTAGTACTCCCTGAAGGAAGGGAGATGGTTATGCCAGGGGAAGATGCAGCTGTGAACTTACACTTTCATAAGAAAATGGTTAGTCTCTTCGAAATTAAGTGTCTGTTATCAAACTTTATTGAATTAAATTTTTAAGATACCTAATAACTCGACAAAATTCGCTTGATTTGAAAATTCGTACTATCAATATTAAGAATCGAAAAGACGATTCAGACACAGTTTGCGTATTGTACTTCAAGTTTCATATATATCTTGAATGCGTTCTGGCTAGTCTTTGCAAATGGGAAACAATTAGTCAGAAAAAATTCAAACAGTCTAAGGGTGTTTGGTTTTAGTTACTTACGCTTGTTACCTCTCGTGGAAGAGCATAGACTGTCCATCAGGATTCTTTAACTAATTCTGTGCTAGGTAATCCTTTCCAGTTGTTTCTAATCGCCATTCATTCTTCTGATATCTGTCGCAGTCCCTGACGCAATATATCTCATGGCCTTACGCTTTTCCTTTTTGCCTTCATGATTCCAAGTTAGGGCTTGCAGTTTGATGATTTTCTCGACCTATGTCCTATTGACTTCTAGCGTCTTTTCCTATTTTTCAGCTGGAAGTTGGTTTGTTCTCTCCCACACTAGGCTGTTGCTGATGGTATCCGGCCAATGAATGTTGAATATTTTATGTAGACAATTGTTTAGAAGTACTTATATTTTTTTGGTGATGGTTATAGTAGTTCTCTAAGTTTCAGCTCCATACAATGCAACTGTAAATTCAATTGATTGTTCAACAATGATCTACAGTATCGTGAATTGATCTGTACACAACCGTTCCTTACGGAATACAGCCTGTTGATCTCGGATTTGGTTGCCTACTGAATCCTTCGTTCGGTTCGACAACACTGTGGAAAACCTTTCCTCATACTGATTGTGGTGTGATGCCTCTTTGGTTCTCACAATTACCGAAATCTTTCTCTTATAATTAGATGAGGTATGTTTATTTCCAATCTGTCGGCACTTGTTCTTCATTCGTTTGAAGACTCTGAGTGACATGGTTCAGAATCGATCACAATAACGTAGGTGTATACACTCTTTGTCTTGTCTGAAACCCTGATGTTAAAATTGCTTTATATCTTTTTTTCTACGAACTAATTCTTCCTGTGTTATCAGTCAGTTAATCAGCTACAACGTAGAACCAGGCACATATATGCATCGGTCCAAGTTGCTACATCTCATTAGCGCAACAAAGTAAACACCAAATTCACAGAAGCCGTTACTTCGATGGTAGTAATATATAAAAGAAAGATTGCATATGAGAATATAATAAAGGGGAAAAGAACTAGTTCGTAGAAAGGAAGGTATAAAGTAAATTTAATCTCATGATTTAAGGCAAAACAAAGAGTGTAGACACCTATGCTATTGTGATCGATTCTGGGTCATATCATCCAGTCTCCAATCACTGGATACGATAGTTTCCCGGACCCCAACCAAGTAGTCTGCATCTACCAATATGACTCTGACCAGAAGTTAGTGAGTCCAAGGACTGAAGTCACGTTTTGGTTTGGCCGCCTCTAACATTCTTCCAACTGTCCCCAACACTAATCAGCATTGCGCTTCGTGGTGATCGGTGTTCAGGCATACGTAACACGTGACCCAACCATCTCAGTCAATGAAGATTCACAACCGATTTAGCTTTAGTTTCATCTTGGCCACAACTTTGTGGTATTCTGAAGCTATGTCAGCTCTTATCCTAGTTCTCACGTCTTCCATTGGTCTTCTGAATTTTTCAGTGCTACAAATATCCATGATTCGGTGAGACCCATGTAGCTTTGTGTATGGGTTTGTGGGTGGACATATTGCCACTTATGACCACTTTGAATGCAGAAATTTGCAAATCACCATTCTCGTTACTTTCTTCCAGTTCATATTGTCTTGTGGTATCTTCACACTTGGTGTTATCCGTTCTGACTTCGTTGTTTAGGCTTCCTATTAGGATGTTTACATTCATTGCGATCCCCTCCTTTGTTTTGAAGGATCCTTTGATTATTCTGAACCCCTGGAGATTCTAATCCTGTAAGTGCTTTCCTTGCTATTTTGAATGGCATCAGTGAAAATACTTATGTATGCGAAGCATTTTCTTCCTCACGACCTGTCAGGGTACAACAACATCTCTCCCGAGGTTATCTTTTTTTGTTCACCTTGAGTCCAATTGCTTTCACTTATTCGGAGCACCGACAAGTTGTATCTTCTCATCTCAGTTATTTATCTGGTTCTCTCAATCTCCAACACTGTTTATATATTCGATATATGAATATTAATTGTTGTCATGGTTGTTAGAAATGGCATCGGCCTCGTGAATTCCGAAGAATGTCACCTTTCACCATAAGTCATCAATTTTCGTGAATGAAGATCCTTCAGCTCGTGTAAATTGTTCTTGGTTGGAGTTTTTAGAAAGGTTGTTTTTCACAGGACTGTTTGTTGATCCCATACCCAACTCTCCTTTATCTGGTTTTGGGACCGGCACTAACCCTAGGTGGTTCACAGACGGAGATTTTTGGTATAACGTTAAAATACTTTTTTGCGGTATACTACTATAATATTATAATAGGAAAATAAAACTGATCAGGGCGACCAAGTTCATAACACTTCTAGGTCGGATATTCGAGTGATCCTCTATAAAAAGATCAGATCACGTTACCTCATACTTGGTTGATGACCGGAAATAGGAAACCAGAGTAATGCCAGACAATACTTTATTGCACACTGTTACAAACAATCACTCAGTGAGTACGGAGTGATGATCAATAAGAAAAAATTAAATCACATATTTAAGAGTAAGTTATTTGCGTGTCTGGTTATGCACACTCACCGTCAAATCACATTTACTTCCACTACTTCACATCACTTTTAATAGACAAAATAAGTTACATGCTTCTGTAGCTATTTACACGATAAATCTTACCCGTTTTTATCCTCCTATAAAGCAAATTTTTTATTGTTTTAGGCTCTTGAGGTCGGACAGCGTTTTACTATTCGTGCTAGTTCCGCTACTATTGGTTATGGTGTTGTTGGTAAAATCCTCCCTGGTCCAGGTCCATTCGCCTGGTCTAAATAATGTCCAATTATATTTGTAATTATTTTCAACTTTTGTGCTTCATCTATTACTGAATAAATCTTTAGTAAGAGTATAATGTCTTACTATTTTATCACATTGATAAACTTGTTTCGATCATCTTCAAAATCCTTTTTTGGTGTACACAGATGCTCTTTATTTTTTGGTACTCATTCGTCAACATTATATATTGAAAAGTTGGTCATAAAGTTTATTTTTCGAACCGGTTATGTAGCTTAAGATTTAGTGCGCTTTATTAATTATCGACCAAAGTTGCTGTACCGAAAATGATCAGTAACAATGAGCTGTAACATTTTGAAATTTCATTTCTTTTGCTTTCCAAAGTTGTGATAAATATATGTAGTTAGTGAATTTAGGACATACAGAACTTATCTATCATTAGTTTCCTAAATATCTTCCACGAATATTAGGGAGGTTGCTTATCTGTTGTGACATAAATTGTTATGTATTAGTTAGTAAAGACATAGCTCACATCAGATATTATATAAACCGAAAGAACTAAACAAATCTCAGTGAAGTACACTAAAAATTTTAAGTTGGTACCTATAGTGATGAAATATCATTCTAATCGCCAGCACATATTAAATGTGTTTTAGACATTTAAATGAATCTCACGTTTTCAAATTGCTAGCCTGATATCTTTTAATACTAACCGGTAATCTGAGAATTAATTTTCATCAATTAGAAAACATGAATTACGTTCATAACTTCCTGTACCAAAGAGGTTGAAAATCATAGATAAAACGTTCATTAAAGAGACGAATGGACCGTTCTGTTTCTTCATTTTGATGAATCTTATTGTTTAGTTGTAATTCTGATGCCTAAATATTACGAAATATGGTAAAATAAAATAAATGTAAGTTAATTTTTCTGTCTTTAACATTTTTCAACCAACCCTATTTATCGTAGGCAGTTGACTTTAAAATATATTTTCTTAAATGATATTTCAATTAACTTGTTTTAATCCATTCTCATTATAAAACTTACAAAATGTCAAGTGCAGAGTTACATAAAACTATATACTTGGAGATAGAATTTATTCAATGAAATCTAAAGTGATGACATTGAAACAATTATTATTCATTGATATAACCAGCTACTGTTAGGTTTAGCACTCAAGGGCCTAATTAATTAGCGTGTGAACTACGAAACTGATGTAATCCAATTGCTTGTGAAATTTGGTCATCTCTATTCTGTTAATAGTTTGTATAAAAATGTGTTATTTTATCATTAAAAAAATTATTCTGGTAAGTAGTCTTATGTTTGATCCCAAACCATCCAGGTTTTTATGTCAATAGTTTGGATTATTGTATTTCGTCTGTCAATCGGCATTCCGTTTTTGTTTAATAGTTGAACCATAAAATCCAAACTCATAACAATCATGTAGAAAGCTAATTAATCTTTAATAATGAGTTCCGTTTTAGTGAATAAAAGTTAATAAACACATAAAAGAAGAGTGTTACTACTCTGTGTTATCGAATTACGTTTTGACTCAGTGTTTTAAATTGAAGAAAAAATATACACACAGTTAGAGAAAAATACCGTTCTTTCAATGATACTAGTTTGATTTGTGTGACAAACGTATGACAAATCCAGACACATGAATCTCTGTTATGTTTAATAAAGCGAAAATGATGCACTGTTTGCTGTATACTAAAGAAATGCTAGTTTCGTGTCAGTGTAAACCTGGGTGCGAATTACTTAGTCATCAACCAAAAACCACCCTTCTACTCACTATGATGACAAATGATTTCTCGGCTTTGATGATGGTTAGATAAGCTTATCTATCGCTTCCTCCAACTAAAGTGTTTTCAAACCAAACGATCCCTGCAAACTTTCCATGATAATAACGTGTTAACTGGTGAATGTTTAGGTCACTAACGTAGTTGGACTTAATCGATATGTTGAATGCATACTTGAATTAGATAGGAATGGTGTGACCAACCAGCTAACGTCGAATTCACACCTCGTGTTCAGCACCTAACGTATATTGCCCTTTCATCGTATTAAGGTAGTATGACTGCTTTTGAGGCCGTATAGTACAAAGGACCTTATTACATAAATACAGTAATGAGAGTAGGTACAAGGAAGAGATTACGGCCACCCTAGCATAGACCAGTTCATGCTGTGCATTCGTCCTTGAGCTTGTCGAGGATTGGTGAATAGTGACCGGACCGCCGGGTGATTTGGCTTGTGCCCAGTGACATTTCACTGGCCTTACAAATAATTTCGAGAGGAAATCCTGGGGCCATGCTAAGAATCGTCCACCAACGGAGTTATATAGATGAACCTTATTAGGTACGGATACTGCGAGAAGTATGAGGATTATGCTGCATAGTTTGGATTTGTCGGTCAATCGTATGAATTGTTGGCTGGGTCTAGTTCGGTTATTGTAGGGTAAATATGAACACAAGGATTAAAACCCATTATCAATCAGCCGATTGGGTATACAATAATTAAGATTAACAGTGCTTTATGTCTATTAAACCAGTGCATGGATGTATGTTCAAGGTTTTTGTTCTCAGCAGATACCATTATGCTTAAATGTTTTCCTGCAGAACAAAACTCCGTAACTGTGCTACATGTTTTATCCACTCGATAACCAGACATTGAGAACTTACGTCTAAATCTTATTTTCAGTTTTTTGTCTAGTACTGTGTCAAGCTCACATGGATTATTCTAATCTCCAAGCCGGTCAGTTAAGCAGTCTTTTTGATTCACCTTTATCGTGTCCATTATTCGCCCATCAGCGCTGATTTTTTTATATGAGCGTGTGTTTATCACTTCACTCCATTCGGCCTATTTTAGCTCTGTCAAGTTTAACACTGGTTTTCTCCAGTCTAATTCTTCGCTCCTCTGCTTTTCATTCTGAATGTCTGTCTGGATAAACAAATGCTTAAAACAAATTCCTACAACTGAAAACGTGTTTAGCTTCTTATCATTGCGTTCGCACGAACGGGTAAAACCTAAGTAATATACGGAGTAAAATCGAAGATTTATGTTCATAGCACATTTATACAAAGCCGATCCCACAAAAAATTGGAATCCAAAGATCAACTCGTTTTTAACGTTGGCAATGCCAGTCGCCGGCTTGATAGCTGAAAATCTGTAAGCTTCAAAATACTAAATATTCACACAAATTTGGATTAAGTTTGCTTCATCATAGCTAACAGAAGTTTGACAACGAACTAATTTATTCCAAAGGATATAGCTAGAAATTTCTCACTGTTCTGGTAATTTCTGTTTTTTATAAATCAGTTACGTAGTATATTATTTCATGTTCTTACCTAAAAATTGCTCCCAGTCCTTCGTCGTTTATTGACCCTTACCTAGTTTTGCACTGCTAACCTATTCAGCTTTATGACTGTTTATATATATTTTTGATGTCAGTTCTCAATATCTGAAAATGCGTCTCCATATGGTTTAAAATTTCCTGCCTAGAGTTTTCATATTTACTGTCATAAATATTCATCCATTGTACCATCTTATAACTTGTCCATGCTCGGCATTGTTATTTTAACGTTCACTAGATCGAACGATCGTTTTCAGTAATTTTTTATCAGGCCTTACAGTTAGAAATCCGAAGTGATTATTGTGACACAATAATGATAATTTAAACCAGTTAGTCCATTATATAAATTTCGATAGAACAATGAGAAAATAGTTGATCTGAAACATGTGATGTATCTGCCCTATACTCGTCAGGGCATTTTATAAGTAGAATTATAACAATCAATTAAATGAAAGTTCAAGTAAACAATAATGAAGGCGAGAGAATTAGTCATTGACAAATAATTACTACTACTGCGTCTAGGTTATGAGTAGTTAAAGTAAAACCTTAAAATAAAGTAGCTCAACTTCGTGCGCTATGGTTTTTATTCTCTCTAGTCTGAATTCTGTACAAATTAAGTTTGCTAGAATGATACTCTGGAGTTACTTGAATTTAAGAATGGAAAATGAGGGAAAGACTTTTTGCCATCAAATGCCTTGATACGGCTGAAAGTGGGGGGAGTCAGCTCTCCCTCTCGAAATGCTCTCACATTGTCACGCGTATACAGTCACGAAGGACGCACCTAAGGGAGTTGTAAAACCCTGATTCCAAACCAATGGTGCACACGAGCTAAAAATCCTGAAGGAGACAAATGGTGTATGAACTTATCGTTGGTCACCAGCTACCATGGAACTGCATCTCATGACGTTGTTCCACTACCTTGTGGATTAGACCCTTAGGTCGAATGCTCAGTGTGTTGTCCTCTAAGGAAACCACCTGTTTCAGTCTGGGCACCCAGCAAGTATCACAGCCCACACACAAAGCAAGTGACTTGTGTGGCGAGTATCTGTTTAGTGCTTCCTTGTACCAGTATTTATGTGTTCAAATAAATAAAATAATAATAATAAACAACAAATGAGGAACGTTAATATTTCTGAAAGTTTTACCAGTCAACAGGTGATAACTAAGTCTGTCATTTGTGAGAGGACCCTGAAGATTGATCACAAGGTAGTATAAATTAGATCAATGTTAGTAATCAGTTAAAATACATCGAGTAGGCATTCCTACATGTAGCTCGAGGAAATTCAATGCCAGTTTGTTATAAATTAGGCGTTTTCATGGTTTAAACTGAGAGGTGACAGTAGTTAGACTACCACTGAAAAGCTTAAATCACTGAATGGGCGTTTTGTGATAGTATGCGACTCCTCGGCAAAGGCCATGTACGAGTCCGCAACCGGGAATTCAGACCAAGACCCTTAGTTTTCACGCGCGGACACCTAACCTCTAGACCACTGAGCCTGCACCTAGAGGTGTACATGTTCAACTTCGATCAATTCACGATAATGCACAACCCTTATTGCCTGCAGTGAACAACTGCCTAACACTATGTGGTTGAACTCAAGTGGTCACGGCTCTTCACTAGAACTTCACAAGTTGCAATTCGAATGTAGTCACTTGTGATCACATGGTGATTTTTAGTATAGAGAGATTT